CGCCTGTAGTTCCAGCTACTTGGAAGGCTGAGGTGGAAGGATCGCCGGAGTCCAGCAGGTTGAGGCTGCGGTGGCCGGGAGCGGCCACTGCACTCCAGTCTGGGCGACAGAGTGAGACTCCAACTCAAAAAAAAAAAAGGGTACCTCAGACTTTGTTCCTACTTTCTCCTACTTTGTTTTCTTAATGCCTTTGAATAGCAATCTGTCTTCTGTAGCGTAACAGCCAGTCCTCCCAAGGTCCGTGAGATCTGGGGCCTGTGAGAGGTGGTGCCCACGCCCTCACTCCCTGACCTGACCCTCATCCCTTGGTGTACCCTGCTGTCCCTCAGCCGGGTTCCCTCGCTCCTGCCTCTGTGCCTGCTGCTTCCTCCTCATAGAACTTTCTTCTTTCGCTTGCCCTCTTGCCTCCCTCGGGTTTGGTTCATTGTTCCTTGAACCCCCATCTCCACCCGCCCCCTCTGGCGTTCCTGTCTCTACTCTGCTGTCTCCCCACACCTATCACCCTCTGTTGCTCCATTTATATCTACCTGCTACCACTCCGTCTCCTACGCAGGAGGGATGTGGGTATGTGGGTACCTGGCCCACGAGAGGTGCTCAGAGCATCACTGAATGAACGAACAAACTCAAACTCTGCTAGAGTGAGAAGCAGCTCCTGGCCTCAGGTCTCCCAGCTGAGGCGTTCACAGGGACAGCCTGGTGTGGTCTTGCACCTCCTCGTGGCACAGTGTAAAGTTCTAAACCAGTGAGGAAGCCACCCACAGCCGCCTGACTTGGCTACTCCCTGCAGGAAACCCGATTTCAGAACGGAGAATTAGGAACCTGCCTCTGTCTTGCTACTTCTCAGATAGGCCCATTTTACCTTTTACTGTATTTTATTGAGTCGGAGTCTCACTCTGTCACCCAGGCTGGAGGGCAGGGGCACGGTCAAGGCCAACGAAGCCTCGACCTGCTGGGCTTAGGCGATCCTTCCCCCTCAGCCTTCCAAGTAGCTGGAACCACAAGAGTGTGCCACCAAGCCCAGCTAATTTTTGCTTTATTGTAGAGATGAGGTCTCACCATGTTGCCCAGGCTGGTCTTGAACCCATGGGCTCAGGTGATCCTCTCACCCCCGGCTCCCAAAGTCCTGGAATGACAGGTATAAGCCACTGCACCCGGCTCTTTAAGTGTCTTTATACCTACACCATGAGTGAATGAATGTATGCACATTCATTCTGGGGAGGAGTGTCTGGTCTTTCTGAACCTTCTAAGTGCAACATTATATGTGGGTGGATTTATTACATATGAGGGGGAACTCCAAAAAAAGCAATTATTTTTTGGAGGGTGGGCCCCTCCTAACGAAGGCTTCCCCCGCTAGGTCAGTGTTCTAGGAACCCATCGACATCGTGGACTGGCTAATGTTGACCGGATTGGTGTGAGAGACTGCATTTGGCTTCAGTGAATTTTTTGGGGAGGTTCTTTCAATGCATCTGCCCATTTCCTTTTTTTCCCCTTGAGTTGGAGTCTCACTCTGTCGCCTAGAATGGAGTACTGTGGCCGCTCCCGGCCACTGCATCCTCGACCTGCTGGGCTCCAGGGATCCTTCCGCCTCAGCCTTCCAAGTGGCCAGAACTACAGGCACGCTGCCATAGTCAGCTAATTTTTTGATTTATTGTAGAAATGAGGTCTTGCCAAGCTGCCCAGGTGGGTCTTGAACCCACGGGCTCAGGCAATCCACTCACCTCAGCCACCCAAAGTGTGGGATTACAGGCTGAGCCACCGAGCCCGGTTGCATCTGCCCATTTCTTGATGGCGATTTACAAGCAAACCTGCCCACGCCGTACTGAATGTTCAGGAGTTTTTGACCAAAATCAGCATGACCCCTGTGTTCCACTGGCCCTATTCACCCAATATTGTTCCAAGTGACGTGTTTTTTTTTTTTGTTTCCAGGATGAAAAAAATCCTCAAAGGGAAATGTTTTACCAATGCGAAAGAGATGAAACAAAAAACAGCACTAAAAGCCATCCAAATTGACGAGTTCAAAAACCGTTTTGAGCAGTGAAAAAAGCATCTCAATAGGTATATCGTGTCAAACGAAGAGGACTTTGAAGGTGATTAAAGTTTAAACATGTGAGAATAAGTACACCATTTTTTATAAATAAATTTCAGTGTTCATTTTTTTCCCCACCCCTTCTTTTTTTTTTTTTTAGTCAGAGTCTCACTCTGTCCCCAGGTTGGTGTACAGTGGCACACTCATAGCCACTGCAGCCTTGATCTACTGGGCCCAGGCAAATCATCTGCCTTAGTCTTCTAAGTAGCTGGAGCTACAGGTGTGCACTACCACATCTGGCTAATTTTTTGATTTATTGTAGAGACAAGGTCTCTCCAAGTTGCCCAGACTGGTCTTGAAGTCCTGGGCTCAGGCAATCCTCTCACCTCTACCTCCCAAAGTGTTGGTATTACAGGCATGAGCCACCATGCCCAGCTAAATTCTGGGTTCTTTTGGATTCCCCCTTGTATGTGGACACCACCAAGAAGGATCCCCTTTCTCTCCCTGTCCCACCAGCTGGTCAGTCAGTCAGTTGCCTAGAATCCTGTCATCCAGTAGAGACAGGAACGCCAGAGGAGGCGGGTGGAGATGGGGGTTCAAGGAACAATGACTCCTTTGGGCTAAGGTACTTTTCTATCTTAAAACACAGACAGAGCCGGGCTCGGTGGCTCAGCCTGTAATCCCATGCTTTGGGAGGCTGCGGTGAGTGGATTGCCTGAGCCCACGGGTTCGAGACCCACCTGGGCAACTTGGTGAGACCTCATCTCCACAACAAATCAAAAATTAACCAGGCGTGGTAGCATGTGCCTGTAGTTCCAGCTACTTGGAAGGCTGAGGTGGAAGGATCGCCGGAGCCCAGCAGGTCGAGGCTGCGCTGGCCTGGGCAACAGAGTGAGACACTGACTCAGAAAAAATTGGAAATTAAAAATACACTTTGTAAGGTCGGGCTCGGTGACTTAGCCTGTAATCCCAGCACTTTGGGAGGCCAAGGTGAGTGGATTGCCTGAGCCCGCGGGTTCAAGACTCGCCCGGGCAACTTGGTGAGACCTCATCTCTACAATAAAAATCAAAAAAATCAGCCAGGCGTGGTAGCGCATGCCTGTAGTTCCAGCTACTCGTAAGGCTAAGGCGGAAGGATCGCCGGAGCCCAGCAGGTTGAGGCTGCGGTGGCCAGGAGCGGCCACTGCACTCCAGTCTGGGCGACAGAGTGAGACTCCAACTCAAAACATCAACAACAACAACAAAAAAAAGCCACAGAGACAGGTACCTCATACTTGTAATCCCAGTGCTTTTGGAAGGCTGAGGTGGGAGGATTGCTTGAAGTCAGGAGGAGTTCGAGACCAGCTGGGCAACATAGTGAGACCTCCACTTCTACAAAAGTTTTTTTTTTTTTAATTAACTGGAGGCCAGGCGAGGTGGCTCACACCTATAATCCCGGCGCTTTGGGAGGCCAAGGTTAGAGGATTGTCTGAGCCTACAGGTTCGAGACCAGCCTGGGCAACATGATGAGACCTCATCTCTACAATAAATCAAAAAATTAGCTGGGCATTGTGGTGTGTGCCTGCAGTTCCAGGTACTTGGAAGACTGAGGCAGAAGGATCACTTGAGCCCAACAGGTCGAGGCTGCAGTGGCCAGCTCCAACTCAAAACAAACAAACAAAAAAAACCAAAAAAACAAAAAAAAGGGCGCAGTGGCTGTAGTCCCAGCTACCCAATAGGCTGAGGTGACATGATCCCTTGAGCCTGCAGTGAGCTATGATCACACCACCGCATTCCAGGCAGGTGACAAAGTGGGAAAAAAATTCAAAAAAACAAAACAAAAACCAAACCAACACACACACACACACAGCGGTATTAACCACTAACAAGTCAGGCGGACAAGGCTGACAGATCCTCCCCAGTGAAAAAGTGCGGATGCCAGGTCCTGATGACAAGGGCGAAGGGACAGGGATGAGTACGGAGCAGAGCCAAGAGCTGGCACCTTGATCAGGAAGCGCACCTCGGCCAGTCAGGAGGATGCTGAAGGCCATCACGAACATTTTTTCTTTCCTGGCTTTGCTAGGTTAGGTTTTTAAAAGGCAGGCAGGAACCAACCTGCTTACAGGCTGGAACCTAAAAGCTGTGGACTTCCAGGTTAGCAAGCCCCACCCAAGCTTCTCTTCACCCAGCAGCCTTTGCCCAGACAAAGAGCCTTGTGAGAGTCAGCAAGGGCCTCAGAGATGATACACACCACCCCCATGCCCGTCATTTTACAGAGGAAGACATTCGCGCCCAAAGGAACAGCTGTACCTGGCCCAGGGTCTCCCAGCAAGCCCACACTAGATCCCGGCCTCCCTGTCCACCTGGCCAGGAAGATCAGGTAAATAAGTCATTACAAAGTCCCCCTCCCCTCGAAAAACGTCACTGATTTTCAGAGGCTGATCTCGGGTTGCCATCCAGGTAACCACAAACGAAGCCTTAGACGCGCGCTTATCAAAGGAAACTCCGAAGTGAACTGTACACGTTGCAGTCGAAGAACATAAAACCCACGGCTTGGCCACACGCACCGCAGGCGAGACTGGGGGACACGCGGGGCTGTCCGGACTGCCTGGCGGTGATTCCAGACACCGCGGTTCTCCGACCGCACGCGCGGCCCGGGCTCCCGGACGCGGGGCTAGCTTACCTGCTTCCCCCGCGGGCCCGGGCTCCTCGGGGCTCCTCGTGGCTCCAGGAAGCGCGACGGTCCCCACGGGCAGCTGGCCGAGCAGCACCAGGAGCGCAAACATAGTCTGGCAACTGTCGAGCAAACCCAGACAAAGAC